GTGTGAAGACACTGTCGGTACGTGTTTGTTGTTTAACCATTGTCTGCAGAAGTAAGAATGATCTAAGTGGGGGAGAACTTGTGGTTCTCCAGGATGCTACAAGTGTGGGGCTGTAGCTCGGTGTATTGTTGAACATCGGGAGCTTGTGTTATCCGTGTTGGAGGAGAAGGCAGTGTTATGTCACTGTGGAGAGGTTCAAGGAGTTTTGAGAAGAACTGTCAACAATTTGTGCGTTGGTTTTGTCGAACCCGACTAAACCATATGTTGCATTTCATGATGCTTCGGTGGCATGCTGGAAAGATGCGTTAAATGCACACTAGCAAAGTTCCGAGTGTGCTTTATGGCAAATAGGGGCACAAGGAGAGTCATCTGAAGAGTGACTTAGAGTTGGTCGCGGTTGTGTGTTCGTGCCAGAGGTTGGGAGCTTCAATTGTTCAGTAAAGGTTTGAGGCGAGTAATGACCTTGAGAACCCAAAGTGTTTTTGCACAGTAAGGCCGATAATGGGCTAAAGAAATTTTTTTATGCAAGATATAGCATGGGGGTTTGACCTTCTTTTCAATGTCAAGCCTGAGATATCAGTGCTATCGAGGGATGGTAAATGGATCAAACTTCAAAAGCCAAGGAAGAGCTACGAGGATACCATAAGGACTATTTTGATCACTGTTTACTTCATGCATTTTGTGAAGAAGAATCCAGAAACATCAGCAAGATCTGTGTGGGATAGCTTGAGTAAGAATAAGGATTTTAGTTACTATGAAGTTAAACCTTCGCATAATGATTTGTTAAACCATATGGCTTTAATGGGAGAAGCTACCACAAAGGATGTTGTCTTAGCAAAGTCCAAGCTTTTGCTCGCAGTTCTGAAAGATAAGGATACAATGAGGAATATGATTTTAGTTAAGAGAATTCTGGGTTGAATAAGTGGATTGACCCTTTTTCTGTTGATGAGGACTAGTCATTTTAGGTTGGAGCTGGTTGTAATGAATATCGCTGAGGTGATAAAGATTGTACGTTGTATCGTCGAAATATTGAGTCAGATGAGAATCTGAAGCCTTGTATGGCAGGGGAGCGAAGACTTTAGGATGATGATGATGGATAAAAGTTTGTATCCGAGATTCAAGCTCATTAGGGGTAGAATGACTATATGTCATTCCCGATGAGGTATAAGTGTTATGGTTGCAATCACTAGGGTAGAATGACTATGCGTCGTTCCTAGTGAGACGATCATCAGGGTAGAATGACTGAGATGTCGTTCCTGGTGGAGTGTATGTGGAGTGCCTGTAATCTCCAATGGAGATTGGTGCAGATTTACGGTCTTAATTGAGTCACGCGGCATGACTATGTTTGTGGTACGGAAGTATGCACGTGGGCGATCATGTGCAACTTGAGAATTAGAGAGCGGACGCGATGTTACGTCCGGTATGGTTTGAATCAGGTGATATTTTCGAGGACGAAAATTCCTAAGTGGGGGAGAGTTGTAACGCCCCGATTTCGATTGTCTCTTTTATCGAGTCCCTACTTAATTTAATTGGACGAATATTATTTTTGATATGGAATTTGTGTGGAAATATGTTAAGTTTACATATTATTCTATTTTAACCGATTTTGAGAGTTTTCGGGGAAAATAGTTTGGAGGGTATTTTGGACATTTCCTATTTAATGATAAGTGGGATATTTTATGGGATATTGAATTAATAGATGTTTTGGAGAAATAATGAGAAGGATATTAAAAGAGAAATAGAAGAGAAAAGAAACATAAGAGAAAAGGAAGGAAAGAAAAGAGGAAGAAGGAAAAGGAGGAGAAAAGAGAAGAAGAAGAAGAAAAGTGTGGGATCATCAAGAACAGCTCAAAGCTTCGATTAATCCAAGGTAAGAGTGTGAAATCTTACTATCTAAATCAATATGTATGATTATGTATGTGTATGGTTGATTGAGTTAGGGTTTTGGAGAGTTTCCTATAATTTCCGTTTTAGGTCGAAGTTGATTCGATCGGTAGAAATCTAGCTTTGTTTAATGAAGATGAGAATAAGTGGTAGGATTTATGTCGGGAAACGTTAGGTTATGATTACTGGAGCAAGTGGAGAATTATCGGGTGAATTTATCGGCTGTTTTGAATTCTGAACAGTGGGGAGAAGTTCTGTTCGCAGACGCTCGCTAGCAGCTCGCTAGGCGAGCAGGTCGCGAGTGTTCGCTAGCATCTTGCTAGGCGAGTGCGTAGCGAACGGTCCCAGACTTGGGACAAAATGATATTGTGGCCTTTCGCTAGTAGCGAAGGGAGTAGCGAAGAGCTCGCTGGGGGTTCGCTGTGGCGAACGAGGTAGCGAGCAATGTTTGGAGGTTCTGTTTGCACTCGCTAGCAGTTCGCTAGGCGAGGAGGTAGCGAGCGTTCGCTAGTAGCTCGCTAGGCGAGCGTGTAGCGAACGTAGCAGAATGAGTTTCTCTCCTGTTGTGTACTGTTGTGGCTTGGGACCCTGATTGCGATCGACCTTCCCTCGATTTAAAAGTGGGTATGCTGGGCCGTGAGGTGCTGTGGGTAGCCGAATGGCGTGAATCCTAGTTTATGGTTTGTGAAGCGTGAGTGTGGCCAATCGACAATTTTATGCAATCGCTAGATCGAATAGGATGGCATGATGAGATGATCGAGTTCGCTGCCGTTGGCATGATAATATGAATGTATGAGAACATAATAGGATTATGTGGGCATTGAGTAGTGAACGTAGTGTCGGAGTGGATTACACTAGGGTAGAATGATGTGATATCATTCCTAGTTGCGGGCTCATTTGGGTAGGATGACGTGATATCGTTCCTAATGAGGCACAAACAATATTGTAGTGCGTTAGGAGTATTCCGAATGAGGTGTGATTGATGGGTGCACTAGGGTAGAATGGTATAACATCATTCCTAGTGGCTGTGTATTATATTTGATCCCGTGTAGGATCTGCAGAACCTCGCTTGATGCGATGGTTATATTTGATCCCGTGTAGGATCTGCAGAACCTCGCTTGATGCGATGGTTATATTTGATCCCGTGTAGGATCTGCAGAACCTCGCTTGATGCGATGGTTATATTTGATCCCGTGTAGGATCTGCAGAACCTCGCTTGATGCGATGGTTATATTTGATCCCGTGGAGGATTATATAAGTGATAGGTTCATAGGAGAATCTGGCGGATGAATGAGTCGGTCCCTATGAGTTGCACTATCATCTTCAGATGATGAACGGAGAATAATCTCTAAGAATATAATAGTATACATGTATGTATGGTCTGATAGATGGGAGGATGACGTTGAAGTAAGCGTGGAGGAGTTGTACTCACTAGGGTAGGATGGCAATGTGTCGTTCCTAGTGAAGAAGTTATCGGGGTAGAATGACTGAGATGTTGCTCCCGGTAGGACATGAGCGATATGC